CAGCAGACTTTCAAAATCCTCTTCTTCCATATCATGTTTAGTTTCTTCTGTCATTGTCATACTTCCTATCTCCACAGCGCTTGTTAGCTTAGCTTCCAAAAACAAGATGGCGGATATTGATTTCAGTTTCTGCAAGTGAAGTCCCACCCACTGATCTGTAATAGGCCTGTAGGGTGAGTGGGTCCCACACCCTTGAATAATAATGAGCTAATGTTTGTAGTCTCTTGTCATTTCAATGAAATGTGACTTCCTGCTTATTATGACGCAAAATTATGATTTTTACGTCATAATAAGCAGGAAGTAAAACACTTAAATCCTTATTTCTCCCATCTGAGGGGAAAATAAGGGAATAAACCTAGGGCTGCACGATTATGACAAAAATCATAATTGTCGATTATTGCCTCGAAATTATAATTGCGATTATTAATTACGATTATCACAATTTACATTGAATGATGTTTTGAACAGATTTATGCCATTGTTCGAAGTGACAGCGTGCAAATTGTTATATCAAAATAAAACGTCTGAAAACACCTGAAAAAATTTCAGTTTAAAGCAGAGGTATTCAATTAAAATTCTAAGAGGTCCAGTTAGAGAAAATTCCATCAAGCAAAGGTCCGCAACATCACAATGACTAACTTTATAATTTTTAAATGTCAAGCGTTATCTTTCAGTGCCACAGCCTAGTAACGTTAGTTGTATGAAAATATGTAAGAAGTCTAGTCAACAGACGACTGTCAAATAAAATAAAAGTCCAATTCAATAATATTTCAACAATATTTATTGTCAGTTTATATATTGAACTGTAGGGATCATAAATAATAAGTACTCTAATAATAAATTATCAATTTAAATGAAATAAAGGCTGCATTTAAAAATAAATTATAAATAAATAAAACACAACAGAGAGCTTTTGAAAAATGTGCGTCTCAAAATAAAGTGCTTAAATTTAGAAAATTAAAATAAAAAGTACAGCTTGAGTTTCCCTTTTAGTTTTTAGTTAACTCCCTTTCACATCTTAAGTTTAAATTAATTTTAACTTAATTTTAACATTTTATAATAAACAATCTTAACACATATTAACAATCGAACAACTTTAACACTTCCTTTTCTCTTTCTTTCCCTTTTATATCCCACTTCCTCGCTTTCTCTTGCTTAGTGAGAAAAGTGAGCCCTTGCTTGTCCTGCCAGCATTTTAAATCTGGGCTGGAATGGTGTTAGGGCCATTCTCATGCACATGTGTAGGTGCTCGTTGGTGAGCCTGGATCTATATTTGCTTTTAATAATGTTCATTGTGGAGAAAGCAGCCTCACAGTTGTATGTAGAGCCAAACATGGTAAAGATGTACAAGGCTACTTTCCTCAGACCCGGGAAAGCGGTCTCTGAGACCATTTGAAGCCAGAAAGTGGCAGGATCAGATTTTCCAAAATGCTCTTTCAAGGCCACATCTGCTTGGAGATCGACAAGTTGCATCTGGAGAGGCCCAGCATCTGCCCACTTGAAGAGTAGTGTGACTTCCTTTGAGAACTCCCTGACATCTGTGATGAGGAATGGGTTCTGAATGAACAGGGTGAGCTGCTGTCCAAGGCTGAAGCTGTCAAAACGCTTGCTGAAATTTACAATCAGCTTGTCAACAAAGTCAACAAAAGAAGACACCTCTCTCTCACCCTGAACCTGTTCCTTCACAGTTGGGAAGTGTGCACAGTCTCCCTGCAGGTCTTCCCTAAACAGCGCAAGTTTCCTCTGAAAGGAGCGCACAGCTGTCATCAGATCACAAACTGAATTGTCCTTGCCCTGTAGCTTTAAATTCAGTTCATTCAGGTGTGAAGTGATATCAACCAAAAAAGCCACAATATCCATCTTCTTGTCATTCTCCAAAAAGAGAGAAAATGGTGTTGCCTTCTGGCTCTTCAGCTGTGCCAAGAAAGCTGCGATTTCCCCTCGGATAGACCAAAAGCGCTCCAACACCCTACCTTTGCTGAGCCATCTTACATTGTTGTGTAACAGGAGATCATCAGCATTTGCATCAACTTCTCTGAGGAATTCCCTGAGCATGCGATGCTGATGGGAAGAGGAAGCTCTGAGAAAGTTTATCATTCTCATCATTGTGTTCATCACCTCAGCATACTCATCTGACAGGGTGGAGCACAGGACTGACTGATGAATTATGCAGTGGTAAGAGATGAGTTGAGGATTGTCCACTTTCAGTCTTGCCACAGCTCCTCTCTCTCTCCCTACCATGGCAGGGGCTCCATCTGTGGTTATTGAAACCACTTGTTTCATCTCTATTGCCCTCTTCTTTAACATCTCCTTTATAGCCAGGTAGATGTCCTCTCCTCTTGTACTGGTCTGAAGGGGTGTGACACCTAACAGGTCTTCACAGAACTTTTCCTTGTCTATGTTAAAGAACCTTACAAAAACTAACAGCTGAGCATTGTCAGACACATCAGTGGACTCATCTACAGCTAAGCCTATGCATGGTGCCTTGTGAATTGCTTCATCCAGCTGAGCTAGCACATCCTGGGTTAAAGTCCCCGTGAACCGGAAGTTGCAAACGATTTTTCTCCAGTGCTGTGACGTATTTCCAAGTGAAACGGAATATTGAACAGAGGGCAGGGTTTTACTCTAGCGCTCCTCCTCTCCATCTCTCGCTCATAGCAAACTAACGGTTTGAGGGGAGTGGTTAAGCGTTTCCCCACCCAAACTGTGAAACCTACGTCATCAGAAAAAGAAACCGTTCCAGACCGGAAGTAACTTTTCAGATTTTGATTAAAGATAACTAAGGTAAAACATTTTTTTAATATATATCCACTTGCACGGATTAATTGTTCACCACAAGACTAGTAATATGCGCTAACAAAGTAAATAGGTTCAATTTTGATTTCACGGGGACTTTAATATTTCTGTTTTCTTTGTGGCTGATGATGCTGACATAGGTATTTGCTTGATTTTTACACACGTCTTCTTTTTGTTTTCCCTCAAGTAAGGTTTCAGCCACCGCACTCATGCACTCCTTGACAACCCCTGCATCAGTAAATGGTTTTTTATGTTGGCCCAAAATCCAAGCAACTTTAAGGGAACATTCGTTAGCACGTTGTTGGGCAGTGAATGAATGTGTTAAGATTCTGCTGGATCGATCATATTGGGCTTTTAGATCGTTTATTTTCTGTGCCCTCAGTACGGATTTAAATGGGTATGTTTGGTCAAACGATTTGTGCTTGGTCTCATAGTGGCGCTTCACATTGCCGCTCTTAATAATCGCGACAGTCTCTGAACATATGAGACATACCGGTTTTGAACTGCCCGTGGGAAGAATGAACATGAAAGAATCTGTCCAATCTTGATTGAAAGCTCTGTTTTCGCTGTCCACTTTCCTTTTTTTAGAGCACGCCATGTGAAACGTCGTCTCTCTTTCGTCTCGTCTCGTCTCGTCTCTCCCTGTGTGTGTGTGTGTATCTCGCGCTGCCGCTGACTCGAGTAGCATCACATGACGATTTACAACGCATGCTATTGGTCTGTGACATTCCTGGGTCGCGCTAAACCAGTACCATAAATGCTAGAAAAGCTGCGCAGTTAAAATAGAAACGCTCCGTCAAACGTTAATAATTCGTTAATAATTCTCTAGTTATTGGTCCGGGTCCGGACAGAACGACGTCTGGGTCCGGATCCGGACCGCGGTCCGCCTATTAGTGACCTCTGCCATAAATGCTAGAAAAGCTGCGCAGTTAAAATAGAAACGCTCCGTCAAACGTTAATAATTCGTTAATAATTCTCTAGTTATTGGTCCGGGTCCGGACAGAACGACGTCTGGGTCCGGATCCGGACCGCGGTCCGCCTATTAGTGACCTCTGGTTTAAAGTAACACCAAGTAACTTTTCCTCTTCGGTCGCCCTACTGGTTGGAAACGAAATTGTCCATTGCAGCTGTCATAAATAATTTAGCCTACCGTCGCACGCACGCTCGCTGTTTATCCAGCAGCGGCTTTAGAATGAACGATGTCCACAGACAAAGTAGAGTATTTTACATGATTTCATGAAAGGATGATGTATTGCGACATCAGAAATGAAGAAAAACGAAATAATGACTATTGTGATGTAAAGCAGTCAAATTTTGTAGTTCTTTTTGTGGTCGGGTTCCTACCCAAACCCCGAAGTTACATAGTGCCAGTAAAAGTGATACAGACCCCGTCAGGCGACGGCAGAAGTGCCTTTCACCCTGTTACGACTTGATGTACCACTGATAAGATTTTGGAAACATTATTATAAGTAAACAATGTTAGTTAGTGTTTTTTTAATGCTAATTATAATTATAATGTTACACTAACTAAAATTAAAACAATGGGGGAAAAACCCTTAAGATAAGCTGTAAAAAAAAAAAACATTTTAAGTACACAGAATAATGTGGACTTTTTATAATTGTGCCTTTGAACGATTACATAATTGTGGCATCCATAATTGTAATCGCGATTACAAATTCGATTAATTGTGCAGCCCTAAATAAACCATGACCATTCAAAAATATGACTGGCTTTCTAAAGATACAATGCTTAATGCAAATGAGTGAAGTGTCCCTTTAACATGCTATATAAAAATATCTGTGGGGTATTTTGAGCTAAAACCTCACGTACACACTCTGTGGACATCAGTGATTTATATCTTGTCAAAAGGGCATTATACCACCCCTTTAAACAATAGAGAGTTGAGAGTTCAAAAGAACAGCATTTAGTTGAAATTGATTTTTTTGTCGGATTATAAATGTCTGTAAATGTAATGTTTGATCAATTTACTGTAGTGAATAAAAGTAGGCTATTCATTTCATACCAATCTTTTGAATTGTAGCCTACTGAAGGAAACTGTTTTGTTGTTGGCGATGTGAGAGTCATCTGTTTTTGTAAAACAACCTTGGGTTAGAAAAATGACAGTAGGCTTTAAAAAAAGGCTAGGCTATTATAAATTTGTAATGAAAGAAAAATAATTTAAACTGCTGCAATTTGAAACTGCTTGATTAGTCTGTTTTTCTTTTATTACCATCCTAATATCTGATTTTCTGATTTAATGTCAAAGGGCATTAAAAAAAAAAACACACACATTGCAATAAAATCGGGAAAAAATCAAAAGGGCGAAATTCAGAACAGCGTGTTCCCCTGAGCTGCGTGTTAGTGATAGTTTACACTAAAAAGACACGGAACAGCTTAATCTCGGCTGAAGAAAGCTAGCCACAATTATTTTGAATTATGAAGCTTGGAAGCGTTTGGTCATTTTGTTTTGAGTCGTCGTGCCAGCAGCCAGGCTGATAGGAAAGGGCGCTGTTCATTGTCAGAGAGACGCAATGTTCTTTACGTCTACTGCTCCGTGTTTACAAAGGAAGAAAGCAGGCGGTGATCAGAATAATGAGCGGTCACTGACTCAACCCATACATAATATACATAAAAAAGCACCCACACACACCTCTCTAACAAGTTACGCACGTGGACTAAATAACGGTAAACAATGACACAACAAGTGAATTCTACTAACTAGCCAACTGGTTAAAATAACGGTTGGTTTCAAAGACAACTAATGATGTAATTTCATTTACGATACGAATGCTTGACCTTTGGCAGTTTAGAGCAAATTAATCAGTAAGTGCAAACACGCAAGGGGAAGTAGGCATTATCCGTAAATGCCGGAAGTAAACAATAGTGAAATTCCATTTACTGTAGGTGTTTACAAGCGAATGCACAAAACAAGTCGTTAAAAGACAATCAAGCAGCCTCGCTTTGTATGGCAAGCCGTTTTGACATTTAATCCTTAATACGTAATAAACTCTATTTCCATATCTTACTTGCTTTTTAGATGGGCTACGAGTATTCCTTTAGGTAGGCCTAGTGCTTATAGGTATTAATGCCTACTCTTCAGTTGATTATTCATTACTAGTATCTAACGATTGTAAATGTCGTTAGTCATAATTAGAATACATACTAATCAAAACTGAATCGTTGATTTCTTAATGACAGATTCCTATATAAGTCAATGGCAAACATTTGAAATGTGTTATTAGTCACAACAGAATAGTAATAATAACTATCAAAATAAGTAGTATCAAATGAATAATACAAGTCTCTAATAAGTACTAGTACCAATTTAATAGGCACGAGTAGCCTATCTAATGAATAAGAACTAGTATCTAATGAATAAGTACCAGTATCTTTTAAAAAGGTACTAGAACCTAAAACAGATACTAGAACATATTAAGGATTAAATGTTAAAACGGCTTGCTATAAGCTTTGAGATTGTCTTCTGATTGATAGTGCAAAAGTGCCACCTTCTGGGCAACTTTGCACTTAACACACAAATGCTGTTTGGCAGCAATAACAAAAAATTGATTGTTGTAACTGTTAGGTTCAAGAATAAGGTATGATAAAATACAAGAAGGTATGATAAAATATAAGTATATTAAAAAATATGTTTTCACTTAATTCAATTTCACATATGGCAGAAAAATACCTGAGTTTTTTCTTGGTCAATAAAAATCGTTCAGTCCCACAAGAAATAAAAACATCCAAAGATGTTCCGAAAATATAACCTTATAAAATTTGACAAATTCGCAAGAATGCAAAAATGGTGAAAAAGCCATCAAGTGTCTGTTTGGAGAGGTATAAAGCACCAGACCCATGATCTCCAGACCCATGATCAAAGTCTCCTAAATATGAATGAGATGCACGATTACAAAAATGTGTCTACAGTAAGCCTAATTGTTCAGCCAGGTAGACTGAAAAGTCAAGCATCAGAGCTCTCCTCTGATCTCTCCTCGTTCGCCACTTTCCAGTTTTTCCGCTTTTTCCGCTGAGGCTCGGCCAGTGTGTCTATTTCAGAGCAGTCTCTCTTCCGTCTTGTTCTCGCCCTGATGTTTGAACGGCTGTCATCTGTGCTGCTGTCTTCTGTTCTGTCTTTGTGTTCCTTTTTCCTACGCTTGCTTTTACCCCCCTTCCTCCTCTGTTTCCTCCTCGCGGTGTCCTCCGCATCACTGCAGATCTCAGAGCCCGAGGCCACAGTTCTCCTACTCTTTTTCTCTTTTTTCTTTTTCTTCTTCTTAGATGACTTCTTGGAAGATTTCTCTATAACATCGTGTAGTTTGTTCTTGTGTTTTTTCCTTCTGTGTTTACTATCACTGCAGGCCTTTTTTCTGAAATAAATGAATATAATATATTATTAAATGAAAAAATATGCTGCTAGAATATTTCAAGAATTAATATATTCAGATTATTAAATCATTTAATTGTATAATAATTTGATTTTATATCTATATTATTAAAATTTTAATAAATTATATTATATTTACAATTATATTTCATTATTTAAGATAATTTAATTCTTTAGATTATAGAAGAAAATTATGTAACATCATAATGAAAACAGGGGTTTTTAACCTTTGTATTATAATGATGGTTGTATTGGAAAGCCATCAAAAACAATCATTAAGAATGCATATATATTTGTATACTACATTTTAATTTTACTGCTAGGAAAATTATTTGTTTTTAACATCAAGTGAAATGAATGACTCTATAGACCCCTTTTGCGCCGATCATACACACAAGTCTTGTACATGACCATTCAGCATATAGTTATAGGCATCTAAAGATTTATATAGCTTAGCCACAGTTTCTCTTTACGATCGGTTTCTCTAAAAAGGTTGGTGTAGAAGTCAGGCCACTCAACCGAGGTAACGTAACGTTAATCCTGTCAGATCGTCCACCCATTGAGTGAGTGTGCAGACGGCTACGGGTCGGCCAATCTGGTTCTGTCCGTTAAAATTAACAATCGGGGTCCTGGACACTGAGTGACCTTACACATTAAGATAAAATCTGATTTTCTTCAGTCATTGTTAAAAAACAAGCTAATAAAGTTTGCTAACTAGCATTAGTGAAGCGGCCAGAGGGATCGTTCTGCCTCCACCTAAGCTCCGCCCACATAAAAACGTCACCATGTTTACCAACTGAAAAGGGGTCTATAACAGGGATTAATAACTCACCATCATATCGTTCTAAAGCTGTAAGACTTTCATTCACCTTCGGAAAACAAATTAAGATATTTTTAATAAAATGTGAGAGCTTCCCGTCCCTCCATTGACAGTCTAATACCACTTTCAAGGCAAAAAACAAACCTAATTTACCACTATATTTACAAAATATTAATCTATGATGCACGATCACGCAACAGCGTCTTCTCTCGTGTCAAAACAACATGCATGGTGCTTTCCTTGGAAATTAATATTTTGTAAATAAAGTGGTAAATTAGGTTTTGCAAACAATGCACTGGTGTCACTTCATAAAATTGAAGTCACATGGATCACTTTAATGACGTCTTTATTAGCTTTCTGGACTTTAAATTTGGTAGTTGTGTAGGCTGTCAATGGAGGGACAGAAATTGCTCAGATTTTATTAAAAATATCTTCATTTGTGTTCCGAAGATGAACGATGTCTTGCAGGTTTGAAGCGACATGAGGGTGAGAAAATAATGACAGATGTAAAGAGATATTTGTACATTACATTTTAATTGTAATTGTAAATTTAATTTAATTGATTAAAAAAAATACAATTGTTTCACAAATTGTAATCCAAGATCAGCAATGTATGCTAATGTAATAATCAAGCAACAATGGAACCAGAAGTTCCACATTAAGGACCCCTGCTATTTAAAAACCCCACAACAATAATGCTTAACATTTATGAGGTGGAAGGACAGCTTCTCCTTACCCATCAGAATTAAATTCCTCAGGATAAAGCTCCTTAAAGCCACTGTGGCCCCACCTGGGGAGACAGAACACAGCTTTGTGATCACAGAAAATGTTTCAAACATACAAAATAATGGAAAACACCACGAGAACAAAAGCAAGCAGCAATACCTGTCAGGATCATTAGCTTCAAACTCATATAGTTTTCGCGTCCAGTATTGTGCCTTCCTCTCATCTCTCTCGGACATCACATCTTTCCTGTCTCCAAGCCGGTCTCGCATGGACCCCTCCGAGTCGTCCAAATTGCGGTCACAGTGCATGCGGCCCCTAAGTGGGAATTACATTTGTCACTAAAGAGAAAAAGACACCAGGAACAAGAAAACAAAGGTTGTGATTGGTGCCTGTCGCCATGAATCATCACCTGTGCTTTGGGAAATGAGTGGAGGTGGCTTGTCGTTCAAGATCCCTCAATTTCCACATCTCAGACTCCTCTTGAATCTGCAGTTAGAAGTTGAATCATTCCATGATTAATTTCATGATAGATTTCAGCTGATTTACATCTGAAATAAAAATGGTTCATAAAGGTTCACACCTTGTTATGGGCATCTGTGTGTCTGATGACATTTCGGAGCAGCACTTTACCCATAGACACCTTCGACATGATGTCAAACCTTCAAACAACATACCACAGCAGAGTTTAATATTTCAAAAGCTCCATATAACATACAAGCTACAGAACTTAACTATGATTAGAAACACGACTATGTCTGTTAGGCTAATATAGGAAGCTTATTGGCTTTCACTGTTTTTCTAAATTCAAAAGGCCAAGCAAATGAGCTGGATATGAAGAAATAAGCTAAATAATGTCAAAATAAACATTAGACTTGTCACGTTTTGTCCTTTAAACATTATGGCAGCAGCTCTAATGTTTCCTACTAGGTAACGTTACTAAGTTAGCTAACACAACCGTTCAGTTCAATTAAAGGCTTATTTGGTAAAAGTACAGTAACATTGTCCATATTAAGTAACTTTACGTTTCAAAACAAAGTAAGGGATGAACTGACCTTTCTATTAATAAATGAATTTGAATTGTAGTGAGCGACGTGAACGTGGCATCAAAAACAAGTAGAACTTCCTGCACTGCCAACGCAAGTACGTTGCTTCAAAATACAAGTCGTGAAAAAGCGACTTTCATAATAAAAGTCGTTATTATACTCATATGCACATTATACATCTAAATGAAAACTATATTAGTTATCTGAAAGTAACCTTAAAAATATATTTTAAAGGTGTTTTTAACTAAGTGTTTTGATTCTATGATCAACATCTATGATAAACAAAAATGACGCACATTAGCAAAATTTTATGGAAATTCTCAATTTTTATTTATTTTTGTAGGTTTTAGGTGCATAACATGTCTCGTGTGACAATGCAATGGCATAATACCCATGATGATGAATCATTCCACTTCCTCATCCAGTGTAATTCTATGATTTTTAAGTAAAGCATGAAGATTTTGATTACACTGGAATCCCCCAAACCGTTTCTGATTCCGTTTTCCTTATATAAGGTACAAAATGCAAGATTTTTTAAAAATAAAATATAAAAAAACACTTTCACAGTATGATATATTTCATGCAGTTGTGTTCACTTAAATTATCCAAAAATTTTCCAAGGATTTGTAAATCCAGTGAAATTCCAGTTTTTAAGAGGCTAAAAGCAGGTTTAGAACTTGCCCCATTGAAGTCAACAGGGTGCGAACTTTAAAGACAGCACGGTGTAGGCAACACCGCATCGATTTTTGTCATTTTTGTCTGTACTGACAGCACTCCAAATGTACAAAAAATTAGCTTAATGTTAAAATTGACTGAAGTTCTCCTTTAACACAACCTTCATTAATTTTTAAGCGAAAACCAGCAGAAGCTCATAAACACCAGGTATATATATATATATATATATATATATATATATATGTGTGTGTGTGTGTGTGTTATATGCTGGGAATGTTGGTCATAATTGGTTGCAAGAGCGTAATTATAAACACATCGAGTTACACAAAGCAAGAGAAGTCAGATTTAACATTTTCCACATTTATTCAGCATAAGTGGTTCATAAAACATCTCATACTGTACCACTTAAAATATTCTTATCTTTAAAACCCTCAGTAGGCAGGCAAGATTAAATATTTAAAACATGGCAGTGTACAACATCACTGCTATGTAAAAATGTTTAGATCTTGCCCAAAAAAAACAAAAACAAATGGGTTTCAAAATGGGCATGACAAATATTGCCACAAATGGTTGCGAGTAAAGAATACAAACAAGACAAAATAAAAATGGTGGCTCAGGATTCACACAAGTGCTGCACTGGAACTTTTAAAACATTATACAGTGGTGGTAATTCACAATATGTCGATACACACATTTCCTATTTCTGTCTTTATACAAGTTTCATCTTTCTATTTGTTACAATTTTCTGTGAGTGTGTGCATATGTGATCACATTGACATACCGCTACATACTTTACTCAGTGTGTTGTAATAAGGCAATGTGGTACTGAAAGAAACAATTTGACTAAAAACAGCCGCATCTACCAACTGAACAGTTTTGTTTAATGCCAATTAACAATGGGAGAGAGTAATATTAATAATGACCACAAGCATTTAATGTAAACTGGCCATAAACCTCATTTAAAATCCTTGAACAGAAATAAGCAGGGGGTAAATGGTAACCATTTTCCTTTTTTTCCGGTCACCTTAATATAAGATACAAAACAAGAAGAAAAAAATACATTCATAAACAAATCTTTGAGCAACACCCACAATTCAGTTAAAATGAAACATGGATTTAACAAATGTACCTCTTCACAACTGTTGGGGAAGGCAAGACGTCTGCGCTACCCTCTGCTTTTCTTAAGCTTGGCACATGAGACTAAGATGAAGCCTTCTGGTTTGCTCAGACAAGAGCTGCACAGGCTTCACTGCAATATGGAACTATTGTACAGCACAATAGTCTCCGAATTAAACACACTGCGCTGCCTGTGGCAGTGTGACTGATATCGCTGGTACATCTACATTAACCCAGTTCCCTGAGAACACTAAAGGACTAAAACCATGGCAGCACACAGGATATGCAATAATATTATCTTTGCTAGATAAAATGAGTAGGATAAATCAAAGGATAAAAGCAGAGAGTGAACAATGAGCAATTTTTATGGACTGAGCATATGACTTAATGTGAACTACACTAATAACCTATATTGTCTTAATTTTGGTCATTCTTCTCTGAAAATAGCTGACAATTTTCACATTTTCAAAAAGCAGAGAGAATTTTAAACCTATTGCTGAGCAAGGAAATGAACAATGGATACAAAGTGTAAACAAGGTACCATGGACAAATGCAGGCCTACTGACAAAGTGACACAAATCGAGCATACGGAATGCAACAACAACAAAAAAAAAAATCGGATCCTGTGCAATTTACTGTCAAGAGCCTACGTACCGTACCGCCTTCCCTTTTTATCAGCATTCATTGGCCCATTTTCATCTGTATACATATGAGGTTTGCTTTCTGTTTTTTTCTTTTGTGAATTTTTGCACTGATGTACCCATATCTAGATACTTGTTTTGGCTTAAAGCAAATGTAATGCTCGTGTGAGAGTTTGTACAATAAGGGTCTTTTCCCTGTTTAGTAAGTCTGCTGATCAGCTGACAAACTCCTTCACAGTTTGCTTCAGTTAATGCCTACAAAGTCCAATACCCACATATATTATATATAAAAAATAAGTTATTGCGCATCCGAAAAAAAGTGCATCTTATATTTAAAAATATCTCTTTCGCTCCATGCTTTCTTTTCTTCCTCGGGGTCCAGAAACATAAATCCAGCGTTTTTCTAAGTGACGGGGAGTCAAGAGGAAGGGAGCTCTGCAGCTTGAAGGTGTGCCGGATGGGCACGTAAGAAAACGTGATGAGGAAGTGGAGTAGGAAGTGAAGGAGGAGGAGAGAAAGAGTTGTCCAGCTATGCAATCACCATGGGAACGTCATCTGAAAAGCCACTGATCATAGGAGCGTCTTCATCATCGTCACCTTCAGAAGAGAGGGAACAAAGAAACAACAGCTCATTTTCATACTGTGGAAAAGATTGTGCGATTAATAAAGTGAGCAGAAGTGAACATAATTCATGTGACCTGAACAAAGCTGAATTGAAATCAAGTAAATGCAACGGAACTAAACTGAATTGAAGTGATCAGAACTCAAATTTGTTAAATTCAGCTAAATTTTAGCATGTAAAACTTTGTGTAAAATAAACATTATTCAAGTGACCTGCACTTAATTAAAAGGGACCAAAACTAAATTGATGAATTGAACTAAAATGAATTGAAGTTCAGTTGAACAAACTAAATAGAAAATAAATTACATATAAATTAACTCAAATGAAGTAAACTGAATTGAAGCGACAGAATTGAACTAATTGAAGTGAAATTAAATAAACTGAACACAACACGCCTGAAATAAACTGACCCGAATTGAAGTAAACAACGTAAGTAAACCAAATTGAAATAAATTCAATACAACTGAACTAAAATAAATGGAACCGAAGACAACTGAGCTAAACTGAATTATAGTGAACTGAACAAAATTAAACTGAGCTAAACACAAGTGTTCTAAAATGAACTGAACTAAAATAAAGTCAACCGATTTAAACACAAGTTCACTTAAGTCAGTTGAGTTAAACTGAACTGAAATGGAAAGAACTTGAAGTTTACTGAGCTAAACTGAACTGAAATAAAATGGTCAACTAATCTAAACACAAGTAAAAAGTGAGCTAAACTGAATTAAAATGGAGTGTAGTGAACTAAACTAAACGGAAGAGAAGTTAACTACAGTTAATTACACTTCCCTGAAGTACACTGAAGCAAAATACAGATTTCATGAAAGGTAGGACTCTTACCCAGCTCATCTCCTGAGGAGAAAATGGCAGAGCCCAGACGGGAGTTGTAGTGGCTATTAGCGAAGGCGGTGAAGTTGTGCTGTAGCCGCCGGTGTCTGAGATAAAGCACCACCAGGCCTCCACACACACCCACCAACAGCAGGAACAACACTGGAACAACCACCGCCGCCATGTCTTCGGATTTACCCGACTGAGATTTGGCATTATTCGGCCCTGAACAATGACACAAATGTGTCAGGATCAACGTCTGGCCAAACAAACAGCCACAGATATATAGGCAAAAATGTTTAGTGTGTAAAAGCTCATGCCTGCTGCTTTGCCCAGTTCGTCATATAACAGCACCGCCGCCTCTCCACACAGCTGGTTGTTGAGCAGGCAGCGCGCCCGCACTGAGAACGTGTAGTTATGACCCACCAACAAGCTGTTAATCCTGAAGAACGTCTCTGTTGTGTTGCCCAGACACGTAGTGGAGTTGGTGACACTGTCATGCACATACACCTCATAGCCCTGAAGAGTCAAGCCATCATTAGTGAAGCCGACAAAAACAAGGAAATGGAAAAAGCCAAATAGGAAAGATGTTTCAAACAGTTCCCTTTGGGATAATGTGTCCTAATACAATACAATCAGAAATGTTAATTGAGTAAACAGTCAATGTGGATTTTATGTGGACTCAAATGTGGTTGGTTTCTAACCCTGCTTTCATTGAAGGTCCGGTCCTTCACAGCCAGGCTCTTCCAGAAGAGGAACACATGATCCTGTTCTTCTAAGATTTTGAGGGCCTCAGGTGCAGGCAGAGAAACTGTGTGGAATGGATAAATGTAGGTTTAGAGCAAAACAACACAAAAAAAAACAGGATGAAATAACCCATATTTTACTTATAGCATAAATACACTGCCATTTAAAAGTTTGGGGTCAGTAAGTTGTTGTTGTTTTTGTTTTTTTTAAAGAAATTCATACTTTTATTTAGCAAGTATGCATTAAACTGATCAAAAGTGACAGTAAACACATTTAGAATGTTACAAAAGATTAATATTTCAAATAAAATACTGTTCTGTTTAACTTTCTAATCATAAAAGAATAAACATTAAGCAGCACAACTGTTTTCAACATTGATAATAAGAAATGTTTCTTGAGCAGCCAATCAGCATTTTAGATTGACTTCTGAAGGATCATGTGACACTGAACACTGGAC